TGTGTGTGTGTGTGTGTGTGTGTGTGTGTGTGTGTGTGTGTGTGTGTCAGAAGAAAAAGGACGGGGAGAGAGAAAAGCAGAGAGAGAGAGAGAAGGCTGGGTGCAGTGGCTCACGCCTATAATACCAGCACTTTGGGAGGCCAAGGCAGGTGTATCACTTGAGGTCAGGAGCTCAAGACCAGCCTGTCCAACATAGCAAACCCCGTCACTAGTGAAAACACAAAAATTAGCTGGGTGTGGTGGCATGTACCTGTAATCCCAGCTACTCAGGAGGCAGAGGACACAGTGAGCCAAAACTGCAGCACTGTGCTCCACCCTGGACAACAGAGCATCTCAAAATTAAAAAAGAAAGAGTTTGCTTGGAAATTAACTATACCCCACAGCCTGGACAATAGACTTCGTCCCTCGCCCCCCCAAAAAAAAGAGAGAGACAGAATTTGGTTGGAAATTAACTATATCCCACATACAGTAGGTAGGAGATGGCAGGGAATTTAAGTTTTTACCATGGACTAGAAATGTACCCCTCAGGTAAAACAATTGACCTAAAGTCACTTTATCTTCTTCCCAAATGCTGCTTCTTGTTAAGTGCCTAAGTTGGCCTTAACACTCTTGTTAGCTTAACTAAACTTTAGAAAGGCTTCTTGTTGACCTTAGGTCCCCGGTCTCCCTTATCTTACTTACTTTAGAAAATTTTCCATATTATTTCTTTATTGCCTTTGAAACGTAAATCTTAAAGATCTTCCTGTCAGTTTTACCAGCAGCAATATCTTTCTCAAGGATCTTGGAACCACGGCCCCCTCCCCACTGAATTCTAATAAATGAAGACAGCACCCCATCTGTCCACCTCTAGGGGAGAGTATAAGACTAATTTCAATGGGTACATTGACTCCAGTTGTAAAACTATGTTCTGATACAAAGATAAGAGAAAGTTTACTTATCCTTTGAGTAAACCCAATTAGCAAACAGGGACAGCCTGAGTTCTCTCTCTCACCCCAGCTCTTAAAAACTCTCCCATCCTGTATAACAAAGGAGTTGAGCTCAGACTGAGTTCTGAGCTGTCCCTTACTGCAATAGCCTTGAGAAAAGTCTTCCTTACGTATTTAACTTTGTCTGTGCAATGTTTGCACTGACACAGGCAAGTCATTGTCAGCAATAAGAATTTGAAAAATCAGAACAGGACTAAGAAGTGACCAGCCTAAGAAGGCAAGCTATAGCTGCAAATCCGACGCACAGCAATTGACAAAGGGTTTCCAAAGATTCAATCAGTGCTCATGAGTTATAGCGTTACCAGATTTAGCAACTAAAAATACAGGATTCTTAAATTTAAATTTCAAATAAACAGCAATGTTTTTAGTATATTTTATGTGATTTTTGAGACATACTTACACTATACTTATACTAAAAACACCAGACACAGTGGCTCACACCTGTAATCCCAGCACTTTGGGAGGCCAGTGTGGTGGATCACCTGAGGTCAGGAGTTCAAGACCACCCTGGCAAACATGGTGAAACCTCATGTCTACTAAAAATGCAAAAATTAGCTAGGTGTGGTGGTACATGCCTGTAATCCCAGCTACTCAGGAGGCTAAAACTAAGGCAGGAGAATTGCTTGAACCCAGGAGGTGGAGGTTGCAGTGAGCCAAGACCATACCATTGCACTGCAGCCTGGGTGACAGAACAAGACTCTGTCTCAAACAAAAAACAAAACAAAAACTTATTTGTTGTTTAACTGAGCAGCCTGTATTTTATCTGGCATCTCTACCATGAAAGAAATCCTCAGTTTTAAACATGTTCCATTACTAAGGAGCAAGATGCCTGGTGACAACAGTGTAATTGCCAGTTCTTACAGCTCTTCCTTCCTGTGTAATCTCTCCTTTCCACCCCACCTTGCTTTCTCCCCATTCAAAGCTGGAAGGGTCAGAAACAGCAGCTAACCTGAAGGAGAGGTGATAAAGAGAGGAAAAGAAGAGAAATCAAGTTATTTCTGCCCCTCAAGGAAGACAACAAGTGTCAGACTACCTACAGAGACAGGCTGGTGGAAGAGGGTGGGAGAAATCATTTATCTGATGGAAGATTTAAATGTTACTAAATTTCTTAGACTGGATATTAGTTTCTCACTCATTGTATGACTGAGAGAGAAGGTAAGAATCATCATAAATACTACATTTCCAACCAGTGGCAGAGAAAATTCCCCCCATTGTGAGAAAGACAAAAATGAAAGCTGGCTGGGCACAGTGGCTCTTGCTTGTAATACCAGCACTTTGGGAGGCTGAGGTGGGTGGACTGCTTGAGCTCAGGAGTTCGAGACCATCCCGGGCAACATGGTGAAACCCCATCTCTACTATAAATACAAAAATTAGCCAGGTGTAGTGGCACATGGCTGTATTCCCAATTACTTGGGAGGCTGAGGCAGATGGATCACCTGAGCTTAAGAATTTGAGGCTGACGTGAGCCAAGATTGCTCCACTGCACTTCAGCTGGGATGACAAAGTGACACACTGTCTCAAAAAACAAAAGTTGTATTTCCAACATCCCGTGTGTTATGCTTGTTTGATGTACCAATTATATTTTAATAGATATGAATATAGATCTATAACAATGAAATAATAGTTTAAATTTTATGTGTACCAAGATTTGGAGAGATTAGTCATTGAACTAAAAAAATATACAAGAAAAAAAAACAACCTATCAGAAAGTGAGCAAAAGATATGAACAAACACTTTTCAAAAGAAGACATTTATGTGGCCAACAAACATACGAAAAAATGCTTATCATCACTGGTCATTAGAGAAATACAAATCAAAACCACATTGAGATACCATCTCATGCCAGTTAGAAAGGCAATCATTAAAAAATCTAGAGACAACAGATGCTGGAGAGGATGTGGAGAGATAGGAACACTTTTACTCTGTTGATGGGAGTGTAAATTACTTCAACCATTGTGGAAGATAGTGTGACACTTCCTCAAGCATCTAGAAATAGAAACTCAATTTGACCCAGCAATACCATTACTGGGTATATAACCACAGGATTATAAATCATTCTATTATGAAGACATATGCACACATTATATTCATTGCAGCACTGTTTACAATAGCAAAGACCTGGAACCAACCCAAATGCCCATCAATGATAGACTGGACAAGGAAAATGTGGCACATATACACCATGGAATACTATGCAGCCATAAAACAGGATGAGTTCATGTCCTTTGCAGGGATATGGATGAAGCTGAAAACCATCATTCTCAGCAAACTGACATGAGATCACAAAACCAAACAAACACTGCGTGTTCTCACTCATAAGTGGGTGTTCAACAATGAGGACACATGGACACAGGGAGCGGAACATCACACACTAGGGTCTGTTGTGGGATGGGGGGCTAGGGGAGGGATAGCAGGGGTTGGGGAGATGGGGGAGGGATAACATTAGGATAAATACCTAATGTAGGTGATGGGGGGATGGAAGCAGCAAACCACCATGGCATGTGTATACATATGTAACAATCCTGCAAGATCTGCACATGTACCCCAGAACTTAAAGTATAATTTTTTTAAAAAAGGCAAAAAACGTCCAAAACTAATAACCATGAATATTATAGTAATTCTACTTCTGTAATACCCAAGTATTACTGAAAAGCACTAAATAGTAACAAACTTGAATAAAACTCCTCTGTGTAACAGTTCTCTCATCTTTGGGTGTCACAGAATCTTTCTCACTTTTTATTGACATATAATTACAAATCAAATGTATCAATTTTAAGTGTATAACTTGATGTTGGATTGTTTGTAACGCAAAGGATAAATACTTGAGGTGACTGATACTCCATTCACCATGATGTGGTTATTATACATTGTACTCCTGTATCAAAATAGCTCATAAAACCCATATATATATACGTGTGTGTATATATATATACATGTATATATATATATATACATGTATATATATATACATACATATATATATATATAAAGTATATATATATATATGTACCTACAATGTAACCACAAAATTAAAAATTAAAAAAAAAAACATACAACCCTTGCATCAGAAAACATCACAAAAGAATCTAGTGAAAAACTGATTTCACATATGCAAGTACACAGATTTGTTTCAGACAATTTCAGGGTGTTTGTTACTTCTGAAAACCAATCCATGAACATCAGATTAAAATTCTTATTCACTGTCTTTTCATCTGTACTGGTTGTTAATTATTTGAGGCAATAAATATAAATTTATTACACTTCTATATCTAAAGTTCTTTAAAAATGACCTATTATTTTAATTACTGTTACCTTTTTAAATGAATGCTAACTGTAAATGCTGTTTTTATCTACTTGAGCAGCAATATAATGCTATCAGAACATATTAATATGATTTTCTTTTTAGATACAGGTTTATTTTTTCCATCTTTCAACGGGAATTCCTATTTAGAACTGCCCTTTTTGAAGTTTGACCTGGAGAAGGAACATAACAGAACTGTTACCATCTACCTGACTATAAAAACAAACAGTTTAAATGGAACTATTCTTTACAGTGAGTATTAAATGTCTGATTTCCTATATGTCATGTTTCTTTCTGAAACGTTAATCTATTGAATCAATGAATTATTCATTTAAATATTGTGGGCGAGCTTTTCCAGGCCAGTGTGTGAGGCATTACCAAAAAGAAATTTTAGTTCTTTGTAGTTTCTCTAGAAGTTTCTTTAATTTATGAGTCATTCAATGGAACGTGACTTACAAACAGGCTCTGAGCCGGCAAGACAGAATTTAGCAAGCATATGAATTTGACAGCATATGGCTATAGCAGTAAAACATAAATGCTGCAAATGTTTCAGAGCATATTTTTTATGATATAAATTACTAAATATGAATTAAGTTCAATACTTGATAACTTGGGAATAGGCATTCCAAAGCTGTGGTTCATTTGACAATCAAATTCCTACCACTCTTTTAGCAACATCTATTATCTTGATATAAGCTGTATTTTTTTAAAAGTGCTATTAACAGCATTTGCTTTAGGAAATGTCTTTACATCCAGAATTTTCTGCATTATTATGTACTTTGCTCATAAGGGTCTCTATAAGCAGAATTTATGGGCCTCTTTCTTCTCTGAATGAACATCACTAAGGTGTATTATCAGCAGGATTCAAAATATGACAATGGTTTTCTCTTTTGAAATAAATGCACAATAGTTTTAACAATTCCTCATATTGGAGGTGTAATGTCTTTAGTACTTTACTAGATTAACCTCCTTGGGGCAACTTATGATTTCCCAAATGATTTGCTCCTCTACTTTGAAACAGTTTGCTAAATTGATTCATCATTCTGTACATTCAGAACAAAATTTTTTAACCATGAGTAAAATGCCTAAAAGAAGTATTTGGGAAAGCTGGGTGAAGTTAGTAGCTTTTAACATTAAATTAAAACTAAGAATTTATGTTATATTTTAGCAAGAAATCAACTTGTCAGACTAGGCCAGTATTATTTATCCCCCAGGAGCAGAGGCACTCATGTTTAAATGATAGCTTTAGAGTATCTGGTTTATTTATGTTAAAAGACAAAGACAGAAGAAAATACAAAAGAAAAAACTGTTTTTGTATACAAAATCTAAGTGCTGGTAGATGACCATGAAATTTGGAAGTAATAGTGCATTGCAGGAAAAACAAAACAAAAACACAAAAGACACAAACATAATAATTGAAAGCTACAGAAAAAAGTGATTTTCTGGTTTTGCAATTTTTTAAGTTATATAGAATTGGAAGATGTTTCCTTGGGGAAAGTGTATTTTACCAACTAAAAACAGCTCATAGTTAAAGCAGCACCCAACCACTGGGAATTCTCCTGCTCTGGGTTCATGCCTCTGGCTCATGTTCATACCGACGCTTGGGTATGTTCTCTTTGAAGGCCAGAGAAATACATGCCAAGTATATATACACTCCAAGTTGGTACTTTAATTTAAATCCAATAAAAGTCAAGCTGATGATAAAGCCATCGGATCATTATTGCCATCCTTATTCAATGACCTATAGAAACAATCAAACTAGGAATTTAGTAAGAAAAAAATGCCATTGTAATGATTATCAATTTCTACCCTTGTCTTATTTAATTGTTGTTGTTATACTACTGGATAAATCAAAGCTGTTTATTCTAGAGAGTTCCAGAGCCAGTGAAGGGAGAAAATGTTTTTGTCTGTAAAGCATTCTTTCTGTGCATTTGTAAGGTGGTAATTTAATCCTACACTGTTGGGAATACCTCAGCAGAATGTTTCCTGGGGTTGCTACTTCTATCCTCTTAGAATTTTTCAACCTCATAAAAGCCTCACAACAGATGAACACAAAGATTTTTGCAATTCAGTTAGATACCCGTAATTTAAAAGGTGTCCCTTAACTTGACTTAAGGGATAATTATATTTGTTTTGAAATCAGGGTATTACGTGCAGGAGCAATTAAAAGTAGTGAGAAAATTAAAACAGATGTTTTACTTCAGATTTTAGGTGTTGATTTTAAGTTGCTTTGTTTTTAATTTTGCTGATTTTTTTTTATTCTTAAACATTTCAGTTCAACTCAATTCCATTTCACAAACATTTTTTGAACATTTATATTTTATATTATCAAATATTTAAGGGACAAGGAAAGAGAACTACCAGGCTGATAAACCAATGTCAGCTTTGAATTATATTCCTGGTTCAAAACTGCAGATTTATTTTGTCTCAGTTTGCTTCACCAACTAATTGATGTTGAAAAGGAACAAAAGAAAGATAAAACTTCAATTCTTATGGGGTTACAGTTAAAAATCCTTAGAAAAGATAGCTTTAAAAAGAACCCTCTGTGGGAGACAGACAGCTCTGAGAGCAGCAGTCAAGATGAAAAGAAAGCTTTTTGAATCTGGCACTGAACCAATTCAGAATTCTGGAACCCAGTCAAAGGAGCTACTAATAGGTCACGAGAGAAGGGATGAGACCACACAAAATTCTTTAGGTGCACTTTCAGACAATGAGCTCTATTACACAAGCAGTATCAATCAGGAGGTTTCGTCATGGGATATATTACCATGCAGTTGGATCCTTTCTGTGCTGCTGCTTTGAAAAGAAATAAGCATGCCCTGTGGAAGTATGTGATCTTTGAGAATTAGGAGCAGACATCTGACCAAGTCCCAGGAAGCAAATTACATGAGCAACTCCAGTGGGAGGAGAGGATTCAGAAGCAATCATTATATTACTTAATGTTTGTATTTAAAATAGGAAGTAAAAGAAGGACCACTCATAGATATTTGTTACAGAGAGTAATTGACAGATGAGTGGAATTATTGAGACCTTCTTTTTTTGCATTTAGAAAGGACTACAAGAAAAGATTTCTGATACTCCTGGAGAAAACAAATTAAATCTAAAGAGTTGTAACACCTGCCTTTCCCTATAAAATGATTTCCAGCAGAACATACAATATCTTCATTAGATACTTATTATATTCCATTCAAATGATGTGGCAAGGCCAATGAAATCCCACAGCATTTCCTGGCATCGTGTTAGATAGCATCTTCTTTTTTTCTTCTATGGAAAAAGACTGCTCTGTTTTAATCAATTTCATTGTGTGCACCATAAAATTCTTTGAATATCTTTGTCCCTCCTTAATGGTCCCAGTAGAGCTAGCTCCTGACAGATACAAAAAGGAGTAGGTTTGCAAATATGGATGGCTGAATCTCAAGTCATTCATGAGAAACTGCTTTTCATCATATTTCATCTTTTTTAGGACAGCAAAGCCAAATTCAACAAATTCTGAGTGCCTAAAAAGTGCATAGCAGTGTTTGGGCAATGTGAGGGATACAACGTTGAATAAGTGATGGGCTACATTCCTAGTTTCTCACCTTTTTGTAGATAGGTATGTAATTTTTTGGGAAACCTGATTGTGATATGTCTTAAATTAGAAGTATAAATTAAGAACTGGCACAGAGTAGAGAGATTCATTTTACCAGCAGTCTGTGCTTACATCTCCTCATTAAATAGAAAATACCTTTGTTAGTGTGTTTTCACACTGCTGATAAAGACATACCCAAGACTGGGTAAATTATAAAGAAAACGTTAATGGACTCACAGTTCCATGTGGCTGGGGAGGCCTCACAATCATGGCAGAAGGCGAAAGGCACATCTTACATGGCAGCAGGAAAGAGAGAATGAGAGCCAAGTGAAAGGGGAAACTCCTTAAAAAACCATTAGATCTCATATGAATTATTTACCACCACCAGAACAATATGGGGGAAAAAACGCCCCCATGATTCAATTATATCCCACCAGGTCCCTCCCACTGGGAATTATGGGAGCTACAATTCAGGATGAAATTTGGGTGGGGACACAGCCAAACTATATCAGCCTTGTAATCTGGGACTGTTTTGTAGTTCTCCTTCCGCGGCACCTCCTAAAAACCTCCACCAGTGCCTTGCATAAAGTAGGCAATTGAGTGGAATAGTTCTTAAGTTTTATGTCAATTACTCGACCTTGACAGTTTTGATAAAATATAAGTAGGTATTGAATAAGTATAAGGTATTGAATAAGTATAAATATAAGTAGGTATTGAAATTATCCCATTGAACATCATTATAATTTCTTCCTCTGACAAATAGAAACAAACAGACACAAAGTTCCAAGGTTTAGTCAAAATGTATTTTGAATCAATGATAGTTTTTTCATGCTTTTAAGAAATCAGGAATATAGCACGGGTTGCCAAGTTTTTCTACAACTATCAGAAATAAATATTTGAAGTAGATGTATTTGCAAGCTGCACAGTTTAATTCTGCCATTGTAGCCTGAGAGCAGCTATGAACAATGTAAGTGAATGAGTGCGGCCATGTTTCAATTGCTAACTTTATTAACAAACTCAGACAGTGTGGGAATTTGGTGCATGGGCCACAGATTGCCAATCCTTGACCTAGAATTATGTGATTCATTAAACTTCATCTAAAATAGAATAATTATATTCTACTTATACAATTGAAATTTATGAAGAAGTAAGTCAATGAGGTATACATTTAACCTGTTTAAAACAGTGATTGGCAAATGACAGCCCTGAAGAAAGTGACTTATTCAGATAATGCTTTCACTCTCTTCCTCTGGTCTAGGGAATTAAGGTCTTAGGACACAAGATTTTTGTCTAAGAGGTCTCCTGAGTATTATATCCATTTAACAGCCATGTTCATCCTAAAAACAAGTAGACTAAAAATCATGGTATCAAAAATGGGAGAGTAGCAAAACAGACAATTGGTGGAATTTGGGGTTTTCATTTTTATTCATTTCACTCAAATGAAGAGGACCCATTTCTGTGTTTTTATTGGTTAAACACAATTAGCAGGATTGAAAAGTTTAAAATAGGGTCTCTATAAATTTCAGAAATTGGCCCAAAGCCAGTCTCCAATAGCATGTAATAAACATGGGTGCAATCATTAATTACATATACCAGCCTGCTGCCATGATCCTTCACTTCTCCCCAGAGTGTCTGTCTGCCAACGTCCCACTGACAAACTAGCTTACGCTGACGCTGCTTATCA